GGATGGAGCATGAGGCAGAGTTTCGTGTCCGAGAGTGTAGAGAAAACGACCGTTGTGACGTAGTGATACGACCTTACATTTGGCAACGTTGAATTCAATATCATTGGAGACAGACTATCTGTGGGCTGCTACCACATACGCAAGTACGCAAACTTACAAGATCGATTCGCTTCAGCCCATCGGGTTTCACTATTGAACTGTCCGCCACGATTGATCGCTGCTCGGTTGAGCACCCCCGACTAAATATATCTGCGCCTGACGTTAGCAATTAGTCCGCATGCCTGTCTGCTTCGGTTACGTGCGTGTGCACGGATGTAACCATAAAGGAGTCATTTGCTTACTGTAGTCTCTTAGAATTGCTTACACAAAAGATCCCACCTACCAGGGCAACGTTTTGCCAGAGACTGAGTAGTTGGAAAGCTATTTTCCTGGAATCGGCTCAGCGACTGTTGCTTTTGTTGGTTAAGAGGGAAGCGGGAAGTTTGGCGCTTTGCGTTGTTGTCAAACGGTTCATACAGACCTCGTCTCTCCGGGGTTGATGGAGAGGAATTGAAACTGATGGAATCTAGGGTAGCGTCATTTAACAAGTACAGAATAGCTGTTGGTACCTCGTTGCTTCTCACCATTAAATTATTGAACTACTGCTCAGACGAAACGGTTAGGGTTGAACAAAGCTGGCATTCTATAGGAGAATGATTCATGGGATTAAGTAATGAGATCGAACGACACTACATCGAAATTGAAATGTGAAAGCCTTAGTGAAAGAATGGGAAATATCACTATTCAATGAGTAAAGCAGGGATCCAGGAAGTTTTGAAGTGAGATTTTGCTATCAACTGGTACACGGAACGGACAGCAAAAATGGCAAAAATAGTGAAGCCACGAAACATACCAGGTGTTGGACCGGGAACCATCTGCGTCATAGACGAGCAGCATCGATCTAGCCTCAGCGGGATCAAGAACAAGTGAGGATACAGCTGAGTGAGCTGACTCAAGCAGGCCACGACTAACAATTGACTGCTTGTTCTGGGAAGCACATCAGGTCTCGGCACATCGGGCATATTCGGGATGAGACAGAATTGTAAAACCAGATATTCGAGAAGCCAATGACAATCAGGCAATGAGAAAGCGTAGTCAGATCGAGAGGATAGAGTCGTCTTGTTTAGCCCATGAGGTGTGATTAATTGGGTAAGCAACTCGCGTAAACTGAGCAGTCTGGTTGAGTCCGATTCGAGCCATGGACTTGATGAGTCTGTCAAGGAAGACATTAAAAAAGAATAAACCCCAAGATCGGAATATTTGAACCAGAATATATATACAGTAATGAATTTCGCATCTGATTGTTCAGAGAGGTGTACGTGTTCTGGGAATGGACGGTGAATTTATAATTATTAGTTAGTATTACGATGTGCAGAATAAACTTGATATCAAAGGAGCGATTTACCTCTGTCCGCGGAAGTGTTATCCTCATCTATCATATCACTGCACTCGGATGGGACTAGGGCGTAGTCTACATCATTCGCCCCACTATCCATACCATTGAGTGATCCATGCTGCGCGAGTCGAGCACGCACTGCTGACAATTGTTTTCGTACATCGTCTTCTTGCTGTTGTCGTAACTGAATGGATCCGGCGGTTTCCGAATCGGGCAC